TTATAAGAAATACAAGCATTGATAAGCAACTATTCTGCATCCCTCACCTGTTTGCTTCCTTCCTCTGATGGGCACTTTGACAGACTATGTAAGGTATGATAAGCCCTGATAGTCATGCCTCAGTCCTTCTACCCCTGCCTTGTGGCTTAAAGTTCTGCCTTACCTGAGAGGCTGAGGAACCGCTCAGGGTGTCAGGGATCAAGATACTTGCAGGGGTTGCCTATGGCAGCACCTGCAGTTGCCACTGTGCCCATCAGGACTTTCTAGGGTGTCCACAAAAGGTCACTGTCCCCTCATAAATCCACAGTACATGAGAGACGGTTTGCTTTTCTTGCCCAGTTCCCTTTTGCGCTGGCTTGGCCTCTCCTGTATTGAACACCACCTACTCATAAACAGGCCTACCTTTCACTGGATGCCAAAACTGGACAGAGGAGCAGGGGGAAGGATTGATTTGGTGTGTCACTTTCCCAGCAACCCAGCTGAGCTCAAAACGGCTCACGACAACAATAAAAAAACAACTTTTTTCAAAATCACTTCTTACTACAGTGGTACTTCAGGTTACAGGCGCTTCAGGTTACAGACTCCACTAACCCAGAAATAGTACCTTGGGTTAAGAACTTTGCTTCAGGATGAGAACAGAAATTGTGCGGCCACGCGGCAGCAGCGTGAAGCCCCATTAGCTAAAGTAGTACCTCAGGATAAGAACAGTTTCAGGTTAATAACGAATTAAGTTCTTAATCCAAGGTACCACTGTACAAAACAAAATAGTATAAATACTATGAAAGTACAAGAAATGATCTAAACTATACAAAATAAGGGGGAGGGAAAATCACAAAATGCAAATCAATCACATTGGATCTATGTTAGGAACACCAATCAACAAAAAGCAGAAAAACTATCACTCAAATTGTTCTCACTTAGGAGTTTCTCTTTGTGAGTGAGTATGGCAGTGGCTGATTTAGGTGCCCCCCCCCCTTTGATGGGTGGGTGGAGGGTATTCCTGTCTGTCTGTTTTTATGTTTGATTTTGTGCTCTTGTCTCTTTTTTGCTCCTTTATATGCTGCAGCCATTTTGTATTATGCCACCCGTCCAATGACATCCTTTTTATGACTGGCAGGCAGAACATTCTCTCAAAATACCAAACGTGCTTACTGGCCTAAATGGTTGGCAGTCCTATAATATGGGAAGTTGTCCAGTAAAGAGCAGAGAAGGGTACAGACTTGCTACAGCACTTCCAGGCCCCAGTTGAGGAGTTTTACAGCTGGTTCTGCTGCCACACCCCTTTCTGGCATGTCAGCAAGTTTCTAACTTAAAGCACATGAGAAGAAAAGCATCTTCATCTTGAGTACGGAACAAGGATAGAAGACCTCAGGCTGGCCACTGTGCCATTGATCCTTGGGGTAATTCTGGAAGTTCTGGAACTGGGAATTATTTTCCCAAGTGGTGGTTGGAGGGCAGTTGTTGTTTGAACCCTTGAGCCCCATAAATACTACCGCCAGCCATAGGGTCATACTCTTCTTCTGATGTCTTATCTAGTTCTGTGCTGTTATTGGCACACAACAGGTTGTTGGAGAGGGTTTTGGCAGTCTAGATGACACGGCATCTTGGTTTTGCTCCAAAGCTTCTGCTGCTACTTGCAGCCATGGGGCTGGAGGGTAAATCTTAGACATTTGTGAAGACAGGCTCCAGTAGATTGAGCAAACTAGACCAATAGTGGGTCCGATGGTAAAGAAGTCTGTTTCTGCATGTGTTGTAGGGGGAAGTGACGGGTAGATGGGGCTCATCATCCTGGGAAGGTAGGAGAAGGAAAACCCTCATCCTAAACCTCCACTGCCTTGCGGGACATCTTCGGGAGAAGAAGAAGAAGAAGAAGAAGAAGAAGAAGAAGAAGAAGAAGAGGAGGAGGAGGAGGAGGAGGAGGAGGAGGAGTTTGGATTTGATATCCCACTTTATCACTACCCTAAGTAGTCTCAAAGCGGCTAACATTCTCCTTTCCCTCCCCCCCCCCCCACAACAAACACTCTGTGAGGCGAGTGAGGCTGAGAGACTTCAGAGAAGTGTGACTGGCCCAAGGTCACCCAGCAGCTGCATGTGGAGGAGTGGGGAAGTGAACCCGGTTCACCAGATTAGGAGTCCACTGCTCTTAACCACTACACCATGCTGGCTCTAAAAGGCTAAGGTAAACCTTACACAAATCCAGAGTGGAGTCCCTAAGAACTCTCTTGTATGCCTCCTTCTGGCAACTCCTGCAGCCAAGCTGGTGTCAAACATCTTGCTCTGCTTTCCTTTGGACCACATCAGTGAGGAAGTGAGGGGGGAAGTGGTCTTGTCTACTGGGAAGCCCAGGACTTCCATACACACGGCTCAGGCTTACACCCCAAGGAAATCATTTTGGTGCTGCTAGTGCAGCAGTTTGACTTCATCCCCAGAGGCACACTCCATTGTCTACCAAGACAAACGGATGACAATAACAACAACACACCCACAAGGTCATTGGGCAGGTCTGGATTCACCCTCCCATTGCTGGGACCACCTACATCTGTTTTCAAATGGACACAATGCTGAGTAATGCAGAATCAATTTGCACTGAGGTTTTATCTTTGGAATGAATATAATGCGATTCGTTCGCCATTCATCATTTATCATTCTAAATGACTGGTTTGGAAAGATGTACAATTCCAGCCAAAACAGGACTGGGCCTTGCGGTTCTTTCATCAGACAGTCCCAAAGTAAATTTTAAATAGTATAAACCAGTTTTGTCCTGTTGAGCACCCATATTTGGTCACATGAATCTCTCTTGGAGACTAAAATAGGTAAAAAATGTAGACCTGTCAGATCACTATGATCTTCTGAAGATGCACAACTTGCAGTATTCCACCTTGTGGCAAAACAGAGGTGGGTACTGCTGTGGCACTGCTGTGTGTCTGTCGTTCATTGAAAAGATACCTTTTGACGCCAGTGGTCCCCTGACCATTTTAAACTGCCTTCTGTCTTGTTGATGCTTTATTGTGCTGATATGTCTTACCATTATTGCTTTATAGTATTTATATATTTTCCCCATGATTGTATTCATCCACAGTAGCAAACTGCTTTGGGATTTTTTAAAATGAAAACCTGCCTAGAAATGTTTTTAAAGCAATTAAATAATAACAATAATAAATTTTCTCCACAGTGGAAAAAGAAATAAGATTTCACCCAAATGTTGAAAAAAAAGATGTTCCAAATCTAAGAAAGGGTGATATCCTATTATCCCCTTGTCTCATCTGAGTTAAACTTTAGTTTAATACCACCCTGGGTGCTTTTCAATTTAGAGAAAAGGTGACATAGTAGACCATGCATGGCATGAAAAAAGTGGATAGAGAAAAGTTTTTCTCCCATTCTCATAATATTAGTCTCCAATGAAGCTGAATGTTGGCAGATTCCGGAAAGACAAAAGAAAGCAATTCTTCATAGAGTGCATTGTGGAATTTGTTCCCACAAGGTGCTCTGATGGCCACCATCGTGGATGGCTTTAAAAGAGGAACAGGCCAATTTGTGGAGGAAAAGACTAACCCTGAAGGTTATGTTCTGCCTTTTCTGCCAGAGCAGAGGTAGATTTAAGGCAGCACAGCCAGTTCTGCCACACCGGGCACCAAACCTAGGGGGTGCGGCAGGACGTCAGAACAATGACATAGTGAATTGAGCAGAATGGAAGGCGAGAGGCAAGGAGGCACTGAATGTTGGCTTTGCACAGGGCACCACTGAAATCTGAAAGACCAAAGTCTGTGTCTGGTCAGAGGCAGTATGTTTTTGAATACCAGTTGTGGGAACCGGCAGGGCAGAAGAGTGCTGCTGAGCTCTGGGTCTGCTTTTGGGCTTTCCATAGGCACCTGCTTGACTTCTGTGATAACAGCATGCTGAACTTGATGACTCACTTGCCCAGACCCTCCAAGTGTCCCTATTTTCCAGGGACATTCCCGGATTTATAGAAGACGTCCCGGTTTCTGATTTGATCCCAGAATGTCCCACTTTTCCTTAGGACACCCCTATTTTCATCACAGAAACGTTGGAGAGTGGCTGGGGAAACCCAGCCAGATGGGCAGGGTATAAATAAATTATTATTATTATTATTATTATTATTATTATTATTATTATTATTGAGTTATCCAACCCCCGAGCCATCTGAAGGCAGCCCTGTACAGTGGAACCTCAGTTTTCTAGCGTCTCGGAAGCTGAACAATTCAGAACCCGAACATCAAAAACCCGGAAATGAATGCTCCCATTTTCGAGCGCACCTTGGAAGTCGAAACGGCTTCTGAGGCACGTTTCTCCATTTTTCTCAATGGAATTTGCCAACCACCCATTGCGCCTCGGTTGTTGAACGTTTCAGAAGTCGAACGGTCTTCCGGAACGGATTCCGTTCAACAACTGAGATACCAGTGTATAGGGAAGTTTTTTGCTTTTTAAAAAAATGTTTTATTATGTTTTCATATATGTTGGAAACTGCCCAGAGTGGCTGGGGCAACCCTGTCAGAAGGGTGGGGTCTAAATATAATAATGATAATGATATAATGATAATGATAGGATGTCCCTATTTTCATCAGAGAAACATTGGAGGGTGTGCTAGCCTAATGCAGCAAGTCCTTCCCATGTTCTTATGAAGGATTCAACATGCACATGCTATTTCAACCACAAGCATTTCACTAATAGGTTTGACCATGCCCAAGCACAGAGAACCTCCACAAAACACACAGCTTCCCTCCCCCTGCCCTGATTTGGCTCCCATAGAGACACCACAAATTTTAAGCTGGTTTCCATTGCCTTCAGTAGTGCTTCCCTTTTTTTTAAAAAAAAAAAAAGCAAAGGAAATAACATTATTATTACTTGCAAAAAAAAAAGAAAAGAAAAAAGATCCTGTTATAAACCTTTGCTTTCTGCCAGAGGAAATAGGGGTTATGTTTTTTCTTAAAGAACAAAATAAATAAATAAATAAATAAGAGGATATAAGAGGAACAACGGTATAACCTGCCAAATGTATTTTATTAAGCTTCTTAAATCTTGCTAATAAGACAGAAGAAATCAGTCCTGGTGATTTATGTGTTGTGCAAAACAGGAAGGAAGCCAAAAGGCAATGGCTGGCAACTTACTGGAGTGTCCCTGGCCTGTAGGATGCTCATAGGAAATAGCTGCTATTATGCTGTGTCTCCAGAGGGCATTTTTCCAGTACTCTGTGGGGGAAGAAAGCACTTCTGGAATCACTTCTTTCTGAATCATCTAGCTGTAGATCAAATGCAGTATATACATCAGAGCTTTAGTGGGAATTGCTGGTAGGTCACTGATATGCAAAGCTAAACTTTAATCGTCTTCAAATGTTTCAGGGCCATTTAGATTGCAATTCTGAGAATCCAGCAAGGGGGGGGGGGAGAAGGGGGGGAATCGTGCAGGGAGGTTGGTGGGGAGGAGGGGAAGGGCAGCGTGTGTATGTGTGCGAGTGAGAATCGATGGGCCTGATTCACAAGAAAGTTACACATCATTTACATAGGAAAGGAATGCATGAAAAATCCTTGACTGCTTGCCTCTGTGATTTATGAAAGCCCCTTTCCTGTGCAAGCGATTAACTGCACTCCAAATGCTGTGGGAATCCAGCAGAGAGAAAGTGGCTGAAGAAAAAATGGGGACTGGACTGGGGTGGCGGGTGGGAGGGGGGAACTTCATAACCTATTAACCATGTGTCCTGAAGCCCACATCATCACACATCAGAAGTATTCTTTCAGCTCATCCTCCGCAGAAATTGTGTCTGTGACGAAAGAGTTGAACCCAGTTCAGATTACTGTGAGGCACTGCGTTGTGAAATGCCTTCTACGTGTTAAAGATCCAGAGTTGTATAGGAAGAGGGTGTTAGGCTAAGGCCAGGAAATCCCAGGTTCAAACTTCCAGATGGCCATGACAGTTATTGGGTGACCTTGGGCCAGTTGCTCTCTCAGCCCAACATACCTTGCAGGGTTGTTTTATGAGGATAAAATGGGGGGGGGGGGAGGCAAGAGGAGAAGAAACCAATATTTGCTGTCAATGTTTTATTTGTTTTACAAATGTTTAAACTGCTTCCCAGCCTGAAAAACAAGTGGTGGGACTCGCCTAACCAGCCCCATCAGTGGAAGCCCTGAATGAGGACGTCTCCTTGCACAATGAGGCTTTACCCCTCTCTCCTCCAACATGGGCTTGGGGGGGCATTTGCAGAAGCTCCAGAACATGGGGTTGGAGAGGGGGGAGCATTGTTCCATCTGGCAAGCTGCAATGCTCAGACGGAATAATTGGAAGAGCAAGGCATAGCAGTCCACCCAGTATAAAATAAAATACAATAAAATTTCTACGAAACTTAGAAACAATAAAAACATTTCTACAAATGGAGAAAAGGCAGGATAGTAATGTGGTAAGTAAGTAACTACCGGTAAGTAAACAACACCTTCCTTGCATGTAGAAAACAAAGATTTAGGGGAGTAAAATTCCAGTTTAGCCCTCTTCCTGCTGTGCCCCTTTACGGTGTCCTGTGAGGAAACATTCAGACCTGGACCTTCTGCCTGCAGTCGGAAATGGTGATCTCTCAGACGTATTTCACCACAGGGTTTTGCGGAATGTGTGTGGACCAGGCCCTAAACAGGGTAGACTTGTTTGAAAAATGTAGGATTGCCCTGAAGGGAGCAGACTGGATAGTGATGCCTCCATGTTGGTTTTTAAAATCCTCATGGATGGAAGATGAGAAAGGATGCAGGGTGAAGAGGTGGCCCTGTGTTTGCTGAAGAATGGCTTCACCTCAGCTGCACACCTGCTTGGGGTGGTTTCTGAAAAGCTACCTGAGTAGCTTTAAGATTTAGAAGAATTTGTTTCTTAAAAAAAATGTTTACACTGGTTTTGCTTAGCAACAGCCATGAAGAGAGTGTTCAACGGGGAATGCCCGCTGCTTAGCTCATTAAAATATTTAGAAGGAAGCACATCTTATCAGAGCCCCTGGGGCTGCCAAACCATGCTTCTCATTGTTCCAGAAGGCAGGTTGTTTCTCTGCCTGGTTTCCCTTTTCTGTCCTTGAGTGAGCTGACAGGGAAGCTCTTGTTTACAAGCTACCCCTCAGTAACCTGGATCACAAACAGCATTTCTCCAGTGGTTTCTGAACAGAAAGTACAAAAATGAGTTTTCCTTGTTCACAAGTTTGTTACTCACCTCTCTCTACTTTTCCACAAGAGTTTACACACACACACACACAAACAGTTTTCCTCCAGATGATTCTTACCATTCTTGGCTATTGAATAAGTCACTGAATACAACTTGGCCATTTTCACATCCGAAAGAGGTGGTGCTGTGGCCGTTTTTCATCATTTCAACCATAAATGTAATCCAGGGGAACTTCAAACTTTATGCCCGCCTGTGAGTCCCATTAGGTCCGATTGTCTCTATTCAGGCCAAAATGAAAAGAATGAAACCTCTTAGTGAACTGTAAGCCAGCAGTTCCACTTCTGAACCTCCTATTGAAATTCCTTTGTCCAGCACTGATCACCTTAAGATCAGTAGCAGTGTGTTCTGGCCGACAGAAATGTTCTCTTACTAGACAACATTACACAGTGCCTGAATGATGATTCAGACCATTAGAAACATTGCAAGTAGAAGTATTTCTCAGTTAGAAACAGCCCTCAGAAGCAGTCCACTTCAACTCTAAAACTTCTACCCTTTTTGCACATCCAGTTTAATTACTTTCAGATAAGCGCTCAAATAGTTGGTCTGTGTCTATCTCATCTGTTCTCTCCTTAAATTTGATTACCAGAATCACACACAATGGAAGTTAAGCCCGAAGTTTCCTTCCACCTTCATCACTTCTCTTAACTGCAGTTTGGTGTGTGCGCTCTTGGCATCAACAGTAAGATCAGAGCAGTGTTCAGAGAACTTGGAAAACATTGCTGTCAAAGAATTCTGTGTTCTTATCCATATAAAGCATTGTGGTAACTTCCCATTCCACTCCCAAGCAATCTACTAGGAATTCTTTTTTTAAAGATTCAGTATAGCATGCACTTATTTCTTTATATTTTATGTATAAGCCTTTCCAGCTGTTCTGAGTCTTGCTAAAACTAACTAAATCAAAGATGCAAAGAAAAGCGATTAGAACTTCTGCAGGGTGTTTCAGTTCTAATACTTACCAAGGAAGAAACGGTTGTTGGGTTTGTAAAAGCAAAACCAAACTCTTCTCTTGTTTTATTTGAAAGAGACCATGCAAGGTAGAGCCAAATCACATACCATGAGATAGCCCATTGGTTGGTTGGTTGGTGGGTTATTTATTTATGGCACTATTTGGCAGAAAGATGGGCTGCACATTTAACAAGCAAATAAAGTAAGTAAGTGCCAGGAAGGAGCATTTTCACTGGGTATGAAAAGATAATGTTTAACCCCTATCTGCCCTTCCATTGTTCCCAGTGCAAAATCATACATTTTCTTGAGATTATGTCAGGTAAGGAAAAGCACATTGTGTCGATGTATTGCTGTCACAGGCCCCTGCATCTGCTACCTTTTTAAAAAACAAAAACAAAACAGAAACAAAAACAAAAAGCCAGAAAACTGACAGACTTCCAAGTGATGCAGTTAGCACCACAGGCAGTATACCTAACTATCTGACCTCATGTTGAATAAGCTAGTGCAGCTGATGTAACTACATAGAAGGAAGCTACAGGATGAAGGAAACAACTGAAAACAATGAGAGAATGACCTAGATGAGGAATGGGGAACTGGTGGCCCTTCAGATCTTGCTTGTCTCCAAACCCCATCAGCCCCAGGCATAATGGTTAGTTGTCAGGGATGGTGGAAGCTGTAGTTTAACAACAGCTGAAAGTTCATAGGTTAGCCAGCCCTGACTTAGTTCCTTTTTCAGAATGCAATCCATAATCCAGTTGGTCTAGAGCTAGTGGCTTAAAACTGAAGGAAATTCTTTAAAATAATTGGGTTGCAAATGGTGGTCTTCCTCATTTTGTTGCACCTGTGACAGTAAATGTTGTTTTTAACTCATTTTTTTCGAGTATATTAAGTAACTCACAGCTGATATTTTTACATGGAATATGAATTGCATTACCTCACAAAATCCAATTTTTCTGATCATAAATGGGTTTATTCTAGGTCACATGAGTGGCACATTGTTAGGGCAATAACAAAGTGCACTTTTAATAACACGGGCACCAGAAACAAGCATTTTAATCATTCCGAATCGGCAGAGAATGCTGCCGGCAAAGTTTTCTGAGCAACTGTTAAATCTGGCCTTCTTCACCTTGAACACTTGGAGGCAGCATTGCCCAGTGAATGCTCCAGAAAGCGACCAGAACACCCAGGATTTGGAAATAAAGCCAAGATTATGAGGCATACGAAGCACAGGAACCTATGGAAATTTCAGTAGCTCTATTTGAGTAAAAAGAATACACTGTGAGGATCAATTTCTATGACGGATCTTTTCCATCCTTGATGTGTCTTCAGAGCGGGGCTTGTGATTTTCCTCCTGAAAGAGAAATAAGAAGCCGGGGGGGGGGGGGAATGGGGGGGTTTCATTCCTTTCTGCTATCAAGTGTGGCAGCTCAGTCAAATTCCCATTCTGAAGTACTGCCTAGTCAGACATGTCAAGTTGTGTAGCACTCCTTCTCCACGGGCAGAACTCCTATTTGCTCCTAAGTCTGACACCTAGATAAAGGCCAACTATTTCAAAGAGTTTGAGGCCCAGTGTAGCGTAATGGTTAGAGCAGGGGCCCTCAAACTATGATCCGCAGGCCACATCCGGCCCTCCAGGCTCATAAATCCGGCTGAAACGCTGTGCCGGGTTTACCTCAGCATGTGGGGACTGACTGAGGCGTTGAATGGGAACAAGCACCTCAAGCGGCGGCGGCTCTGCCAATGAAACGCCGCGCCGGGTTGCATAGGAATTCATTCATATTTTTTTCAAAATATAGTCCAGCCCCCAACAGTGTCTGAGGGACAGTGAACTGACCCCGGTTTAAAAAGTTTGAGGACCCCTGGGTTAGAGTGTTAGAGTAGGGCCTGGGAGACCAGGGTTGAGATCCCCACTTGGCCATGAAGCTCACTGGGTGACCCTTAGACTTCTAGCCTAACTTGCCTCACAGGTGTACATCACCTAGAGCTTCTTCTAGGAAACATAGGATATCAATGTAACTTAGCCATGTTCATTAATTTCAGTGGGTCTACTCTGAGTAATACTTAGCTGAATCCCATCCCTTGTGTTTATATTGGGTAAGTTGGACTCGTGGTTTTTTATTTATTTATATTTATGCCCGGTCTTTTCTCTAGCAAGCTCAGTGGATTGTACACAGGATTCCCAGACCATCTCCCATCAGCCAAACCCAAATTTCAACAGAACTGCTGCAACATGTTCAGAGTACACCCCTGGGCTTACGTTGCAGATTCATTGTTTCCAGTTAAAAAGGGATGCAATCAGATTTTACGAAGAAGAATGGTGCTCTTCGGACTCCAGGTTTTGGTGATGATTTCGAATGTATCCTTATCACCACCCTTGCCAAAAGGAAAAGGAAATCGTAACAACTGTCCTCTAAATCCCCAAGGCTTCTTTGGGTACATGCTAACAACCAGCAAACTTGCAAGAAGTATGTTTGGTAAGGCAAAGGGAGAGCTGTATTGGAATCAGGTTCCAGCAGTCACTGTTTCACATCTGAACCACAATGCAGCTGCAGCCCCTACTGAACAGTCTGAATATACACATTTAGATGAAAAACAGGATATGCATTTCCCCACCCGGTTCTTACAGAAGATCGGAGCTGAATTGGAGCCAATGTGCCTTAGCACTGTTCACAGTGCATTAAACTTTATGGTTCTTCAAATTCTGAATGCATGTATTTTTTTCATATATACATATGGAGGTCCTGTGTATGTGTATTAGCACATATTGTTACATACTTGAAACAGTCAAAATGAAATGTGGTTGAATGGCCCACTAAGTGGGCGCTTATTTCACCACCTCCATCCATGTTTTACCAGAACACCACAGGGAATAAGCTACTTTGCCTCATTTATGTATGGCTTTATTCGGCTATATTTCCCTTGCTTCCTTCTTCTGTCTCTTGCCCCTAGGCCTGTGCCAGCCTTGCTCTCTCAAACTAGGGTTGCTATATTTCAAAAAGTAACATTCCTGACACCCACAAAGTTATTGAGCTTTTTTTAGGAAGACCCCAAAATTGTTCAGCTTTTTTTTAAAAAAAAGAGATTTCAAGTTTTTTTAGCTGTTTTCTAGCTGTTTTCAAGTTTTTTTTAGCTGTTTAGCTGTTTTACACCACATTGCCATTTTTTACACCCGAAAATCTGTCAGGAATTTTCCTGCCGTATGGCAAGCCTATCTCAAACTGACTCCCCCTTCAGTTTTTAGACTACAAGATTGCCTACTCTTAGTGTTGATTCAGAAGCTTGAATTATGATTGTTGAGCTTTCTTCTTTTCTTTTTTGTCCAAAGTTGTTGATCTCACCAACAAAAATGAGTTTTTGAGCTATTTTTAAATGAAAACACCAAAATCTACACAACCAATTTTCCTGGGCATTTCAGTGATGTCTGCCCAGACACTGCTTAATGGGGTGTATGGCAACCCTAGCTTGAATACCATATTTGGTAATTCAATTTCTGCCTTATTGTGGATCCTGGCTGCCATTTGCCAAGATACCCCATTGTAAAAGGGAGTTCCAATCTCAACCCAATGCATATTAAGAGCTAATTTTAAGGGGCCCCACCCTGAAAGTTCCAGCTTATCCATTATACATACAGATGAAATTCTTTGTGTAGGTTCCTCCCCCCCCCAAAGGTAATTCTAGGTTGTTTCATGTACAGCACAATTCTATGCCTGCAACAGGATTTACTTCCAAGTGTGTATGGCAGGAGCAGTGAAACAATGGCCCTTCAGATGTTTGGAGATGACAATTTTATTCTCCCTTTCCATTGGTCATGCTGGCTAGGGCTGATGGAAGTTGAAGTCCAACAACATTTGGAGGGCTACGTTTGAAATCCACCAGGCACATTTTTCACCTGGCTATCGACCACTTGTGACCAAGTGAAGATGCCTGGGTGCCAGGATGGCGCTTGACATCTCCATCACCTGGAGGTGAGTGCCTGGGGATCCTTGGATCTTGACTGTTTTCACACACTAGCAACACATCCTGTAGAATCCTATCCGCTATATTTCATCTGCACCATCAGAATGAATTTGAGGAACCAAAGAGTCGTATTGAAAAATATGACCTTTGAGCCGTCTGGCCCCAAAATGGCAACTAGGCATTCCATTTTGGCAACTAGCTTATATATCTGAGTTTCTAACACTGGCCACAGGTGTATAATTTGCTCCTGGTGTATACGATTGCAACCTTGGTTTATTTTTCAATATCTTTTCAAGAGTCCTTTATCTAAGAAAGGAGAGCAGCCATTGCTTCCATCCCTTGGTATGAGTGCTTATACCTCTGGTTAGGAGAAGAAAAGTCTGCACATATATGAGGCAGGAAGGAGGGGAGAGAAAGCATTTAATAATGGAGTTGATAAATAAAAGTTCCAAGAGTTTGTGCATGAGCTTGGGAGAGGATGCAAAGGGGAGGGGGAAGATGAAAAGAAGAGAGTTTAGTATATGTAGCAAGAAGCAAAAATCCTGAAGTCCTAAGTTAACTCGCACAATGCTTTCAGGAATGGGGGGGGGGACCCAACACTGTCAAAACACAACATTAGTTTTCAGAAGCCTCCAGGCAAGATTTTATTTATTTAACGTTAGCTCCTATTTTAATAACAAAAAAGTGGCAGCATATTCTACATCAAAGAAAAAAACTTTTCCTAATGTTTCCATTCCTCTTCTGAAGTGCAGGCACTGAAGTAATGGAGCTGTCTGTCTCGAAATAATTACGTGAGTGGCAGGATCTCAACCCCAGGAAAGCTTTTTGTCTGCACTGGGGATTGTGCTATAAAGAGTGTCGTGTCTTGCACTGCGGAAACCAAACACCAATGGGGGGTAACTGGTTTAGCTATTGAAATAGTTATATTATGTAGATAATTACCCCCACACACCTGAAAACAGACTAGTGCTAAACGCCTGGCTCCGAAAGCCACTATCTTTTATTCCTGCCTCAAGAACAGAGATGCTGTCAAGGACCACCATGTGGAGATTTCCATGCTGTCATCAATGAGCTAATTTATACCGTGCCTTTTACCTTGCAAGGCAATCAACATTATTAAAGCAGCTTTTCAAAGGCAGGAAACACTCTAATGACTCATTTGAGGTGTCCATGATTACTTTCATTTATTATGATCAGTGTATTTGGCTGCAAGGTAAATATTCCCACGTATTCCTTGAGATTGTGTTAAATGAAAGGAATGGCAGCGAGTTACCTGCCAACCACTCATGAGTGACTATACAGAGCAGATTTGGAGGCCCCGTTCTTGAAGTGTAAACAGCAGGCCACGAGTTAATCAGACATGGAGAAGGAACTCAGAGGAATAAAGGAAGGTGAAAATGCAATTTAAGTCCTACTTCAATATTAGCATTTTTGATTGTGCCATATTGTATGTGGTAAATATATCCAAGAAGCAGTTCTCTCCCTCTCTCTCACTTTCAGAAAGTGAGAGAGAGAAAGTGAGAAAGTGAGACATAGAAAGTCCCATAAAAAGCACCAGGTTCTTCTCCTGGAGCAGTAGTCCTGGAGTCAGAAGGTCCACACTGCTTTCAGGTGAAGTTGGTACAAAATGACAGCACAGGGTGGCCCATGATATCAACAATGATATCAAATTGAATCATAACCCAGCCCACGTGAAAACCTATCTTTAAATATGAAACTTCCAACACATTTCAGTAATAATTAGGGAAATTATCCCCTTCCCCTTCCCAAAAGAGCCCAAGGCCACAGCAGCAGAACAATAAAAACAATACAAATATATATTTTAAACCATGGGTCAATGCCAGCACCACCAATGGGGCCTCCCCTGGTGATCATAAGGTGATAGTGAGGTTAGAAATCTTTTAAGTACTTGGGTCCCTGAGTACAAAGCCTCTGAGTGGCTAGGACCCAAGTCCCCGTACTAACACCCTAAATTGGGCCTGGTAGCTCAATGAAAGCCAGTGTGGTGTAGTGGTTAAGAGTGGTGGACTTGTAATCTGGTGAACTGGGTTCGCGTCTCCGCTCCTCCACATGCAGCTGCTGGGTGACCTTGGGCCAGTCACACTTCTCTGAAGTCTCTCAGCCCCACTCACCTCACAGAGTGTTTGTTGTGGGGGAGGAAGGGAAAGGAGACTGTTAGCCGCTTTGAGACTCCTTCAGGGTAGTGAAAGGCGGGATATCAAGTCCAAACTCCTCCTCTTCTTCTTCTTTAATTTTTTTAATACTTTTATTTTGCTTTAAACAAATACATATAAATATAGACAACCAAAATAAAATTCCTTAATAGTAATAATAATGAAAAAAGCAAAAAAGCTACAAAAAACATCAAAGTACACGGCATAAAACATAAGCCGTTATGGGAAAGAAAAAAGAAAAAGGAAAGGACGATGAGAAAAAAGAGGGGGGGGGGGAAAGAGGAAGATGAGCCAAAACACAAGAAGGCTCATCTTCTTCTTCTACTGTCCTCTCATTACATGGTTCTATCAAACTGCCACACTCAACATCCTGGGTGCTGCATTCAGCACTTGGTGCAGCTCCCAGATCATCTTCAAAGGCAGCCCTACACAGAGTGCATTAAAGGCATAAGAGAAGCATATTGGATCAGACCACTGGACCATCCAGTCAAACATCCTGTTTCCATAGTGGCCAACCAGATGCCTATGGGAAGCCGACAAGCAGGATCTGAGGGCAAGAGGACTCTTCCCACTTGTGATCCCCAGCAACAGCTCTTGGCTTACTGTTTCCAGGGGTGGAGGGAGAGCACAGCCATCATGGCTAGCAGGTATTGCTAGCCTCGTCCTCCGTGAATTTCTCTGATCCTCTTTTAAAGCCAACCAACTTGATGGCCATTGCTACCTCTGGTGGGAGCAAATTCCATAGTTTAGCTGTGCGTTGTGTGAAGAAGTGCTTTCTTCTGATTGTCTTCTAATCCTTAGCTTCATGGCCTTGAGTTCTAGATTTGTAGAATTGCAAAGCTGGAAGGGCTCACAAGGGTCAACAAGTCCCACCGCCTGCAAAGCAGGAATCTTTTGCCCAATGTGGGTCTCGAACACACAGCCCTGAATCATGTGCTCTTCCTACTGAGCTGTCCCAGCAAGTATTGTAAGGGAAAAGAACTTTTCTCTACCTACTTTCACCAAATTATGCATAATTTTGTATGATCATTGGATTCCTGGACATGAGAACCACCCACCCACAGCAGCTCCATCTTATCAGGATTCAGTTTCAGTTTACTGGCCCCCTATCCATGAATGACTGACCCCAAAGTATTGTCTTTTCATATCACACATCTTGCACTGGCTCCCAGTGGAGTATATGGTCAGGTTCAAGGTGCTGGTTTTGACCTTTAAAGCCCTTTGTGGCTTAGGGCCCTCGTATCTACGGGACCGCCTCTCCTGGTATGCCCTGCAGAGGACCTTAAGGTCCATGAATAACCATAATTTAGAGGTCCCAGTCCCTAAGGAAGTCAGACTATCCTCCACCAGGGCCAGGGCCTTCTCAGTGATGGCTCCGACCTGGTGGAATGCTCTGTCCCATGAGACTAGGGCCATTCAGGATTTAACTTCCTTCCGTCAGGCCTGTAAGACAGAGCTTTTCTGCCTGGCCTTTAATTTGAATTCAGCCTGATCTTTTATTTCCATTCTCTTCCTTCCCTCTCCCCTTTTATGAAGATCACCCACTCTGAGACCTCACAGCTAATTCTCCCCTGGCCTCCTCGCTGGCCCAAGTAGGACCAATTCAGCCAGCTAGCCCTGGGGGTTATCTAACTGATTTTTGAATTTTATTGTTATTCATGTTTTTATACTGTATTTTATGCTGCTTTTATAATTAAGTGTTTTAAAGTGTTTTAAATTTGTTGTTAGCCGCCCTGAGCCCAGTTTTTGAACTGGGAAGGGCGGGGTATAAATAAAAAATTATTATTATTATTATTATTATTATTAGATAGTTAATATCCACTTTTTGAAAATACACAACTGTCTGAAGCCTATGAAAGCCTGTTAAATACAGATTTTAGGGAAGAAGGACTGAAGCAAAAGAGAGAAAACCCATTAGAAAATAGATAAAAATGAAACAGGTGTCTTATGGTGCAGGTAGCCTAAGGAGGCTTTTTAAGGTATGGAGGGCAGTGCGGAACAGGCCAGGAAAATGAACGCAGGTCCTAGGCCAGGGGTAGCTTATGCAGACCCTCCAAGTGTCCCTATTTTCCAGGGACATCCCCGATTTAGAGAAGCCATCCCGGTTTCTGATTAGATCCCGGAATGTCCCACTTTTCCTTAGGATGTCCCTATTTTCACTGGAGAAATGTTGGAGGGTATGGAGTTATCCAACACCCAAGCTGTCTGAAGACAATCCTGTATAGGGAAGTTTTTCAAATGTTTAATTATGTTCTTATATATGTTGGAAGGTGCCCAGAGTGGCTGGGGCAACCCAGCGAGATGTGTGAGGTATAAATAGTAAAATTATCATTATGGAATGGGACATCCCTATTTTCATCAGAGAAATGTTGGAGGGTAGGCTGATGTGGTATCCTATAGATGTTCTTGGTCTAGAATTCCCATCAACCCTAATCAGCATTGCCAATGAGCATGGATTATGGAGGCCAAGAACAATAGGAAGGCATCAACCTTCCTTCTGTTCAAGGTATTGCCAATAAGCAGTTGTACACAATTCAAAGAAACGGAGAAAGAATGACTTGAAAAGCAATTGACAAAAATCCACCCCAAAACCAGAATAAAAGATGAAGGAGTGTATCAACAAAAAATGGGGGGCATTTGCATGTAACATAAGGGTTCATTTCTCAGGTATCCAGTCTTTTTTTTTGTAAATTAAAAATTTAAATATGTGTAAAAAATTCAGTGTTCAGATGAAAGTAAGTTATATTTTTTTCAAAAAAACTTTCAAGATCTCAAGTCTGTAGTTTGAATGCTTAGCTAATACATCAACACTGGCTAGCCTGCCAAAAACACTGAAATACACGGAAAGAGATCATAAATTAGTAAATTGTCAACTCTTCTTAATATGAATCTCCAGTGCCAGACACAGTTATAATAGTAAAAGCAGGTTACCTAAAAATAAGTGCCAGAGTCTAATCAAAAAGCGGAGGGCAGTTTTTATTTTAACTGGGTTTGTAGAAGTAATCTCGATTTTAGAGAGGCCACCATGATTTAACTTGGACACTTGAAAACCTTACACATTTCAAATTTCAGTGTTCATCTGGGGAACTATAATACCACACAGTAGAATCTTTATTAAATCAGTGCATTCATTTATTTGAGATAAAATGTTTTATTCAATCATTGTATTTTGATAGAGTAGACTATAGCACACCAACGCGAGATAATGGATTGAACAGAGCATCCTTGAAGGAGAATCACTTGCTTCAGATCACCTCTCTTTTCCTCAGGAGACATTCCGCTTCCAACATCCGCACAAATTCCAAACCTTGGGCAGAAAGATGCACCAGTGATACCTGGTGCAACAAATCAGATTTTGATTCACCTCCCTATAAAACTTGGGGAGGGGTGAATCAAATAATCCCTGCTTAAAATACCACAGTGTCATCTTTTAACCTATCTAGGAAGATCGGCTCTGCTGCTTTTATGGCAGCTCAGCCATGTGTACTGCAAAGGCTCGCTAGCATCGAGGCTATCATTTCGACAGCTTTCAGGAAGAGAGAAGCAGAAAGTTATATTCCACTAGTTTTCCTCCTGTCGTCCTGCTTAATCATTCCGTTTAATCTCCTTTTCTGTAATTAAAGACTTTGTAGCACATGCTGATGCATGTCTACTCAGAAGTAAGTCTAATTTATATTAGTGGGACTAAACAACAACTCCCAGGTAAGTGTGTATAGATAGCACTGTAGCTTTAATCATGCAGGAAGTTTATTCAGGTCGGTTACCTATTACATAAATTGTTTGTATGTAATGGTTGTTATTATTACTACTAATATATTGTCTTGATATTCATCTCTTGATACAATGAAAAAGAGACACACAGGGAGGGAGAGAGGGAGAGAGAGAGAGAGAGAGAGAGAGAGAGAGAGAAAGAAAGAAAGAAAGAAAGAAAGAAAGAAAGAAAGAAAGAAAGAAAGAAAGAATTTCCAGGTTGCATACTGTTAACACAGATTCCCTTTTGGATTGAAGTGTTCTTTCTCTCAAGATTGCATTTGCAGCATTGGCGTACCTTGTGAGTCATAACATGAATAAATTGTAAATTTTCCTGAGGGTTTAATACAAATCAAGGAAACCGAAAAATTTTCTTTTGTTTGTATATCTATTTTTTTAAGCCCTGAAAACTAATGTCTTACTGTGGCATTCGTATTTACACTCCTGAGATCAAAACCTGTCTAGGTAAAATCTATTGCACTGTCAATCTGGTGTAGCTTTTTGTTTTTTTAGCATTTATAAATTTCAAATATTAAACCTCTTTACTCCATTTCTCCTCCCACGTCAGAACACACAATCTGGTTACAAAGACACCAGGAGAGAAAAAAAGGGGTGCTGTTTGAAATTTCTCTCTTCCAGCAGGCCAGGTAGTTATGATGAAAGTATTTCAGTGTTAAAAAAAGATAAAAAGGTGTTAAGACGCTTTCTTCTGTTGTGTAAGTCCCGGGTCTCTAAGTGAAGCAGCACCTAACTTGCATATCAATATTGAACAAATTGCCTTGTTCCTGTTTAAAAACTCAGCAAACCTGGCTGATATACAACAGGGAACAAACGTAAAATATTCCAAAGACAAAAAGTCAGTGTTATCAGAAGTCTTCCCATAAAGTTTCCTTTATAAGTTTCCTTTTATTCAATTGTCAACCCCCAACCCCTGCCTAGACCAGGGTTTTCCCCCCAACCAATATAAAATTATAAGTGGACATTAAAAATGGTTGGAAAAGAGTTGAAACTCAAACAGTAGACAAAAACCACACCACATATTGACATATTTGAAAGTCTGGCATCATTTGTGCAGGTAATACAAATAAATAGTACCTTTCTCTTAAAATGAAAGCAATATTACAAGTAAGAGGAGGAAATATGCTTGAAACACTTTCCGGGCTCCTTGAATGTGATGGAAACCACTGAGCTATCCAGAAACACACATGGGACGCAATCCAACATAGGGATGTTACCCAAGTGATGTGGGAGATGCAGAAGCACAGCTTTTCCCGGGACCACTGGGGTAACACCCAGGCCATAGGGCATTGTTGCCCATGATGCAGCTTCTTCCCATATCAGCAATGCTCTAGATTTGGGAGAGTTGAAGCTGCTGTGGCAAGGAACTATGCACAGTTCTGCATTTTTCAGGAGTACCTGTGAGCCAGCTCTGACACACTAGAAAGCTTTGACCTTCATCCCATTTTCTGTTTGTTAACTTATTGCCTGCTCACTCTTTGTTCTGAAGCAACAAAAGATAGAAACATGAGATTGAAACTGTCTTGATAAATGTAAAGCCTGTATCATTTGCAAAATTATTTCAGTGCCACAAGATATGAAAGAGGGTGGGGATAAACAGAGAGAGAGAGAGAGAGATGCTAGGGTTAAAAAGTTTAACTAACATACCCCAGTCATTTGCCAGTTATGAAAAAGTTGTAGAGATTAAAATAGATATTGCTTATGTCGATGTGCCAGTACATTGGTTGACAGCACAGTGTTGTTCAGTAAAAAAAAGAAAGAAAAAGAAATGTGACCTCCAACATTCAGGCTGTGCTGGGACAATTTTTAAGCACGCCTATGCCTTCCTCTTTCAAAAAGACTTGTCAGTAGTACACATGAAAAGGATATTGGGATTATAGTCAATCACAAGCTGAATATGAGTCAGCTATCTGATGAGGCTGCAAAAAAGTCTAATGCGATTTAGGTATCCATTAATAAAACCGTAGAGTGGTATCCAATTATGGCTGGAATCTGTCAGAGGAAGTGGGGAGGCAATTTTTGCCAATTTTCCTCCCCCCTTGTGATTCCCTCTGTATCTGTTCCACAGTATTGGGGGTTGCCAAGAGCAGATTTAGGGGGTATGTAGGGCACTATAGGGAGGGCTAAACTGGAAATTGCCTTCTTCTCCACTGTGCTAATGGATTCCCTTCCATCAGCATATGATCACCACTGGAAATCACCCATAGATTTCCAGTCCTGTGAAATAATAGTCACACTTGGTTCTGTGTTACTAGGACCTCATTCAGAGTACTGGACCCAGTGCTGCACTTTCAGGCATATTGGAACTGATTATGAGGAGGGCAACAAAGATGGGCTATGGAATAGAGAACGAGGCATACAAGAGGCTTACGGGACTGTGCATGCCTGGTCTACAGAAAAGAGGACTGAAGGAAACCCTTTTTATTTTATTGGGTTGTCCTTGCTTTTATTTTGATTATGTATTTTGTGTTTTTATTTTGTGATTTTATCCTGTGAACCGCCCTGAGACCTGAAGGTATAGGGTGGTATACAAATTTCAACAACAACAACAACAACAATAACAATAACGACAACAATTTATTTTATTAAAATGTTGAAGTCCTGTCCTCCCATTGCAGCAGCACCATGCAAGCTCACAACTTAAAATATTACAAATTTGTGAAAACAAGTATAGAAAACACATAGATCAAGGAGAAAACCCAGCAGTCAAAATGAAGCAAAAAATGTTATCTGTCACATACCAGAAAAGTCTGCTAGAATAAAATGGTCTTTAGTAAACAATGGAAAACAGTGAGGGAACGGGGGCAGCCATACCTTGTGGGGCAAGTAGTTCCATATTAGAAATTGAGCCACTGAGATCTGTCTTATGCTACCTAAAAATGCTTTCATCATAGGTTTTCAAATACTTCACAGTTCCACTAATGCAAGCACTTTTGGCTGTGCAACAGAACTTCCCCCCTCTCTTGTCTCCTATTGAGCCCCCTAAGTAAGTTCTGGGTCCCCTCCCTCTGCCTTCTGGAGCAGGGACACAGAGGGAGTAAATAGGGCAGCAAAGTTCCGCTGTTCAGGCAAAACTGCTTGGATAAGTGTTTAGTTGTATTCTGCTCTGGATAATGTTCTGCCACATAGACTAGGACAAAGTCTAGATCGAATTGGCCTAAGGTACAGGATAGTAGATTTGGGTTGAACACTAGGAGAAAATTATTGACGGGATCAGAGTCTGACAATGGAACAAATTAGCTAGAGAGGTGGGTCCTCTTACTGGACGTAAGGCAGAAACTGGGCAGACATGTGGGGAATGTTGTATCTCCAGATTTACTGCACTGAACTAGTGGGTTGGACTTGATAGCCCACACAACCCTTTTCTAACTCTACAATTCTGTGATGTGCTGAAAACTTCTCCATGCAAAGAAGTATAAAGAGCTGCTTTGCTGCTTTCAGATGGAATGTCCCCATGCCATAATCAATATGGGATGAAGCAATGGAGAAACCTCTTAATACATTCACAGCAGCAGGGCACAGCCTCATCAAAACCAAGTGGGTTTCAGCTGTGGGCTTGTTGCAGATACTGGCAAATTAAGCCTGTGAGTATAATTCACTCACATAAAAATGAAAGTTTCTAGGGGGCATCCAGCCCTCAACAACTGTCTGTTGGGAGTGAGGAAAGGGTTGCTTGTAAAATGCTGTAAAACACAGCTAGAAGCTTAGTTCAAAGCAGGATAAATTTAATCAGAAATTTGCACAGGGCAAAACTTTTATCTTATGGCTGCAGGAAGATCCTGGCAACCAGATCCATAAGAAAGTCATGCAATAGTACATCAAAGGCAATGGGAGCAAAATTTAGACCTTGGTTTAGCAAAATGCTTCTCCATGGAATTACTGAACAGAGTGGCTTCCATATTCTGTAACAGCACCAAGTGTACCATTTGCACCAATGGCACCATTTGCACCAACTGCAGTCCAGAATTGTCCAAATGACTTTTGAGAAGTTAATCCCTGTCTGAAGGCATGCTGCTGGAAGGTCTAGTTTCAATGGCAGACAACTAGCTGATGATGCCCCCCCCCGGCAGAAGCTGATGCCTGAACATGTACTGCCACTACCACCACATGTGGCAAAGGGTGCAGCGGAGGAGGAAAAGTCCCCGAGTCAAGAGGCTCCATTTGGTAAACCTAATCTAGAGATCTGCCACCATGCCAGGAGGCTGAGTTGAAGCTGCCACTGCTGCCTGGTAAAGCTCTCCCATCTTGTCTGCAATGCAGGAGATGGCCTTTTGCAGATGCCCCTCCCCGGAAATGTCTATTTAGGGAAGGCTGTACCAGCAATGCTGGAGCTGCGGTGATGGATTTGTATTTGCATGCTATGAATACTAATAGGCACTCTCTGGAGGCTTCATTTTTTACAACAAATTGGCAGTGGATCCATTCTGAGTACTCAGTTAGGTTTTCCTGCAGTCTGTTATGGGGCATGAATGAGCCCCTTGAGCTTTGGCAGCTGTTTTCCTCTCAGAGCTAATGATGGGATCCTCATGTGTGTACAGGACTCTGGATCTCAGGCAATATGGGGCCATTTACTGTACTTATGACAGTACAGTACATTAAGCTTAACAGGGCTGTGTCAGCATAAATAGAGCATTCCCTTGAAACAAGACTCTGATCAACAGAAGGTACACCAGTATGAGGAAATTACCAATTAAGGGCAACATGTTGAGAATCTTCCCCAAAACTATCAAAGGATGTATAAATGTAATTAAGGGATTTTCCACGTAAACTTAGGAGTCTTCTATAAACGTTATGCTAAAGCAATGGAGTATGATCTGATCTTGGTCATGAAAGATACAAGGCAGGAGAGATTATGGAGTTATGGATGTGACATTTAAATTCCCTGTCAGATACCAGATGATATTCCAAAACTCCCTTGGTGAAAAGTGGGGAAAACGGTATCTCTTGCCAAAAGTTTCAGGTACAGACAGGCCTGCTTGTTAATGCGCCACCATCATTTTCAATACAGTCACGTGATGTCTTCTTGCTTTTATAGTGGAATGAATGGGCCGATGCTCAGTGTTTAGCTACTGGCTGAGCCAACATGCTATGTGAATAATTTTGTTGCCAGGTAAATCCATCACAGGTACCATAATTAGAGC